TAAACTAAATATGTTACATATTTTAACCTAAATATATTGCATATTTTAAATTAAATATGTTACATATTTTAAACTAAATATGTTACATATTTTAAACTAAATATTTTTATATTTTAAACTAAATATTTTATATATTTTAAACTAAATATGTTACATATTTTAACCTAAATATATTACATATTTTAAATTAAATATGTTACATATTTTAAACTAAATATGTTATATATTTTAAACTAAATATTTTATATATTTTAAACTAAATATGTTATATAATTTAAATTTTTTCAAATTTGATTTCAAGTAAATTCCAATAAATTGAGAATTTTATATTCGACTTTTGGCGAACTTAAGAGGAGAAATGAGTTAAAACTTTAAATTGGTAATTTCAACTGAGATTTTCCAATTTTAAATATTCTTCGTAAATTTAAATGGGAAATTTATGCAGCCAGCTCGATTTTGATCGTGGTAATTTCAATTCTTTCACGGTTCAAGCGAATACTTCGATCGATATGATAAAAAATGATTTATTTACCTAACAATAGTCCCGAGATAGATTCGTACTTGTTCAAAAGATGCACCACGTACGACGCGGTGAAGACTTGCTCGAGGCCGGTGCTGCTCGTAACGTTGCAATACGGTCCGTGATTGATATTCAGAAACACTGAACAAACCAAAAGGCAAACCAGCCACCATTAACGAACTAGAACACAAGTGGTACAAGCTTTATCTTACCAGATAAAACAGCGTCGCCGGGAATTTCAAATAAACTTCTATTCTTCGGACATATTCCCTGATCATCCATTCCTAAAATTGTCTGCACGACGCTCAGAAAAATCACCCAAATCATCGACGACATATTTCTCATTTGAAAAGACCGATCAAATCGTACAACTATTCCACTTCTTTAAAACAGACGATCTCTGATCGGGCAAATCCTCCAGAGGGAACAGGTTTCCAACATTGTAACCTGTTTAATCGATAGACCATTCAGAAGGGGGAGCTTCCTCTCGTTTAATTTCACTAGTGATCAAAATTATGCTTGTCTCTTCGAAAAATTTCCTCTGCAAAAGCTCTTTGGCAGATTCGACAAGAGAGAATGCAACTCCAACTAATACTGATGAATCATCCGTCTGGAAGAGTAAAAGTAATTCTTCAAAATGTTCGAAAGAGTCCTTCTCTTTTTATTGGTGAGTTGAGTCAACAGAATTCAGTGCTCTCCCTTTGGGACAAAGCTCTTAAAATGTTCGAAAGTTTGCTTGATTCTACTTTGTGTAATTTCCCTTTCAAAAATTTGTTAATAACATTCGAAAATTGTCCGATTACATACAATATTATATAATTATATAATTAATATTATATAATTATATAATTATTATTATATAATTAATATTATATATATTAATATTATATAATTATTGTATAATTATATAATTAATATTATATAATATATAATTATTGTGTAGTTATATAATTAATATTATAGATAATTATTGTGTAGTTACATAATTAATTTATATAATTATTATATAATTATATAATTAATATTATATAATATATAATTATTGTATAGTTATACAATTAATATTATATAATTGTTGCATAATTATATAATTAATATTATATAATTATAGTTGATCCAAAGTATCTTTAATCCTTCTTCCTCGACTCTGTTAACGATAAAACTATGCTCCGTTCATTGAAAATATCCTCGGGAACAGGTAAAACGAGACGATGAGTATCTCCTCGTTGTAATTTGTTTAATCAAGTCCAAAGAATTCTCGTCATCTCGAACTCTCTTGTTATTAACAAACGAAATAAACCAATATAATTCCAACTGCACTTACAACTGGGAAAGATGTTTGTCAAAAGCGTCCAAAAAATAATATCCGCCGAGGGAAACACATTTCCTTCAATCGACGACCGGTTCTCAGAGAAGTTCCTCCCACTTGATTTTATTTAGCCGCGAACTATGTCATCCAGCTACTCCCTCCACTCTCTTCCTTCGAAAGAACCCTTCAAAAAGGAGCGTCCAGAAATTCGTCAAAAGGGACAGACCTCCCTCATTGTATCGCCGACTCGATCGATGTGTACTCCTGCCCTCTCAATGGAGATCTCGAGTTCTTTTCACTCGATTCTATCAACGACAAACGCCATTGTCGAGTGTAGAATCGTTTGATCGTTCCCTCCGTTCCTTCTTTTACTCATTTTCAATTTCCACGATTATCGAGACGTTTCGCCAGTTCGAAACTTCCTTCCTAGAAGTGTTTCGGAAGTTGAGGGTTCTTTCTTTCAAATCTTTACGATCGTCGTGATCATCATTCTGGTTCGGTGGTTTCCAGAGGTGTCCTCGAGGAAATGGATCGTCCGCGGTGAGAATAGCGGCTGGACACGGCAGCACGCGTTACTTATCGCGACTTAGTCCTCCCCTTCATGATCGGATCCATCAAATCGCGTGATAAGCGCAACTCCGGGTGTAACAATCGCCGTGGAACACGTCTCTTTACGATTATCGCCGGCAGCATTTCAGGGATAATACTCGGATCTAAATTGATATTTTTTCTTTTTTTCCTTCGTCCCCTCCCCCTCGATCTCCGGGAATCACGATTCAGTCTCTTGCCGAGGCTAGCTTCTGGACACGAACCGTTTCACGCTGGTCACGCTTCTTCGATATATATTAATAATATTTTCTCTTTTCTCAGGCGTTTTTCATTCTGTTTCCTCTGTAATATTACAGTTCTCTTCAGTTTAATATTGTTTTTTTAATATTATTTAATATTTTCTTTTTTAATATTATTTAATATTATTATTTTTTAATATTATTTAATATTTTATTCTTTAATTTCTCTCCAGCTGCTTCGATTTCTGAAAGCTAAATTTCTGATCTTCTAGCTTTCCAATTCTCCGCTAAATTTCTTTCTTGTTTCCTTCTTTCTCTGACCATTAAAAGTTTTTTAATTTCTCTCCAGTTTCTTCGATTTTTGAAAGCCAAATTTCTGATCTTCTAGCTTTCCAATTCTCTCTGAAAGCTAAATTTCTTTCTTATTTCCTTCTTCCTCTGACTATTAAAAGTTTTATAATTTCTCTACAGTTTCCTCGATTTTTGAAAGCTAAATTTCTGATCTTCTAGCTTTCCAATTCTCCGCTAAATTTCTTTCTTATTTCCTTCTTTCTCTGACCATTAAAAGTTTTTTAATTTCTCTCCAGTTTCTTCGATTTTTGAAAGCTAAATTTCTAATCTTCTAGCTTTCCAATTCTCCGCTAAATTTCTTTTTTATTTCCTTCTTTCTCTGACTATTAAAAAGTTCTTTAATTTCTCTCCAGTTTGATTTTTGAAAGCTAAATTTCTGATCTTCTAGCTTTCCAATTCCCCACTAAATTTCTTTCTTATTTCCTTCTTCCTCTGACTATTAAAAAGTTCTTTAATTTCTCTCCAGTTTCTTCGATTTTTGAAAGCCAAATTTCTGATCTTCTAGCTTTCCAATTCTCTCTGAAAGTTAAATTTCTTTCTTACTTCCTTCTTTCGCTGACTATTCAAAGTTAATATCGAGAGTTGGAGATTTTCTTTAATGTCAAATTGACAAGTTACGGATATAATGTCTCCCTTTTGTTTCACATTCGCTGAGACCTCATACACGACATTTACATTGACGTGAGTTAATTTGGTTTTATTCTCACTTGATTCTTCTTTCTTCCTTTCCTTCTCTCTTGTTTAATTTCACTTCTCGAGACGTGGAGACTCGAACCAAGTGCGGAGCGATGCAAAATTCATCGATTCAAATTCTTGTTTCAACTCTCTCTCTCTCTTTCTCTCTTTCTCTCTCTCTCTCAAGACTGTTGTTTCCGATCTTGGGATTCGATTTTATTATCTGGCGCTCTTCATCTCTTTCTAGCTTGAAGCTCAGAATTTGGAATTTCGTTCAGTCGAGGTCACGAATGCGTCAAACTGGCACGAGTAACGTGATCGTAAGTTGCGAGGTTTTTTTTACTGGCTCTTGAAATCAGAAAGACACGTGATATTGATTTCGCGTTTTAATGGAATTTTCTGATGGATACTTCCGATAGCGATCGATCCATTGCCATTGGCTGGTGTTGTTACTCCCGTTACTCCTGAAACAACAGAACTCTGTCACTCTAAAGTGAACTGGAATCTTTATTACGAACAATGTTTTATTTAACGTTGCTCTTCAATTTGAAATGTTGCTCTTTACATTCACGCGAACTTTCAGAAACATATCATGTTCGCTGCTTTTTACAATCGATAGGAGAGAGATTTCTTTTCTCGAAATTTTATTTCAGTCAAATTCTTTTCTAATTTCTCGAAATTTTATTTCAGTCAAATTCTTTTCAAATTCTTCTCTTCTAATTCTTTTCCTAATCAAATCCACCGAAAGCCACGATGGCTACGGTCTTAAATCGAATTTAAAGTATTTAACAGTTAATATTTAATAATTTATAGTTGATAAAAATCTTTTTCAAAGTTATTCATTTATTTTTTCTAAGTGATTTAAAGTACCAATTTGTAGTTTCTTCGCCTTTAGAGCTCGATCAAATTGTTCTCTGAAATAATTAATAACAATAATAATAGTACAAATAACAAATAATAAATTCAAAGCACATCCGGAGTTACAATTTCAGACTACTCTCTCATTTAATGAATGTTACCTTTGCAGTCTTGCGCTTCAAATCCACCCCTCTTCCTTAAGTTAAGTAAACTCACAGGCAAATTTCCGATCTTCTCGATCTCAAACACTCTCTCTCTCTCTCTCTCTCTCTCTCTCTCTCTCCTCTTGTTTCTTCAAAATGTTTCTATCTTCTCTACTATCGTTGATGGAACACACTTCAACCCAATCGAGTCGAGTCTTCTCGAATCGTCAAACACTTTCAGTCTCTCAATTTAAAACACGAGAGATCTACCCGATCTCTCTGTCATCGAGAGCCACCCCCCCCACCGCCACCCTCTTTCGGCTGTCCCAGACCTTTTGATCAAATGACAATTTGACCTTCCGTCTGGTGTCAATCCACGTGTCGATGTCCGCAGCGAGAGAGTTGTCAAGCGAAGTCGAGATGGCCGACTGAGGCGTTCATTTTCGGCCGGTTTCGGCGACGGTTTTCCCCGGGTGACGACCGGTGCACTTTGGGAAGCAGCTGGCGCGCACTGCACACGACAGTGACCACCACGGAAGCCATACAACCAACTGCCCTCCCCCTTCTAAACGTATTACACGTTCAGTCACGTTGAGGTCTGCAGCCATTTAAGCGGCCCACGGCACCGTCTAATTGACAGTCGGTGGTCTCTTTTTTTCCCTTTTCTTTTCTCTCTTGACAAGGGAATAAGAGAGAGAGAGAGAGAGAGACTCCCGCCCCTCTCGTTTCGCGGATGATCGAAAGCGACAGCGAACGAAAGAGTAACCCAGTTCCGGGGATCCGTGTCGATGTCCTGCTGTTGCACGGTTGTTGAGTCATACGTTCTTATCATCGAACGAGCAGGTTAATTCTTTCTCCCTTTCTCGAACTGTTGGGTTTCCATTCGCGACCAACAGCGCGTGAAATTTCCTACCGTTTGTCTGTTATGGTTTTCGAGATTTTCGACGAGGATTTTAGTGTTTGAAAAAAAAAGGCAGGAGGGGAGGATACAGGTCAGGTAGCAAGGCGTGAATTGTTTGATTTGCTGTTGAGGTGGAGGAAACGTGGATTTTAGCGTTTAAATGAATATAGGGAGGGGGAGGAAGGAATACAGGTATTATAAATTATGTTACTGTAATAACGTCTATAAATTAGATTATTTGTAAATTTTTCTGATTATATTAATCGTATTAATATTAATATTGTTAAATATTAATTTTAATAACGTTGATGCTATTAAATATCAATTTTAATAATGTTGATACTATTAAATATTAATTTTAATAATATTAATATTATCAAATGTCAATTTTAATAATATTAATACTATTAAATGTTAATTTTAATAATATTAATACTATTAAATATTAATTTTAATAATATTAATACTATTAAATATCAATTTTGTTAATATTAATATTATTAAATATCAATTTTAATAATATCAATACTATTAAATATCAATTTTAATACTATTAATACTATTAAATATCAATTTTAATAATATTAATACTCTCAAATATTAATTTTAATAATATTAATACTATTAAATGTCAAGTTTTAATAATATTAATATTATCAGATATCAATTTTAATACTATTGATATTATTAATAATATATATAAATTTTTTGATTTATCGTCGAGGTGGTAGAACGAGTACTTAAATGTTTAAAGAAGCACAGGGAGAGAAGATGGGGGAGAATGCAAGTTTTCTGTTTGACGAGATGTTCCGATCTGACGACAGAGCTTTATTTTTGGAATTTTTACGAGAAATTCCCAAGGGAGATTTGGTTCAAAAGTAGAAGAGAATTTGTAAGAAACACAAGCTTCTGTCTTTTGTTTTTCTCTCTTGTTCTAGAGAGCGAGATTAGAGTACGAACGTTCTTCTCGCTTTAATTTTCAACTCTCACGGTTGGAACGAAATCTAGCGGAAGCACAAATTTTTATTCTTTATATTTTACATATTCTTTTTTTTTTTTTTGTCGAATTTCTCTCGTTATTTTTAAACTGTTAGAAATCTTAACGCGGAGAGAATTCGGAATAGATAAAAAATTGGAACATTTTCAACATGAAGAGCTAACGTTAAAAATAATCGAGACTTCGATCGGAAGAAACAAGTTTCCTCCATTTTATTAAATATTTCTTTTCTATTTTCTGTGAAAAGTATTCGAGCAGAATACGAATTGTAATTTTAGAAGAATACGAAATGTAATTTTAGAAGAAATTTTCTTTTCTTTTACCAAATTATTTCACAATATCTACAGCGATGTCACGATCGATCTGAATTTCAATTCGCATAATTTCAATTCGGAATATTTCTCTCTTTTTACCTTTGCGTATTTAATTTCTCAGTATCCTCTCTATGTTGATTCATTTTTTACGTTCTTCGCGTTATTTTGATTGTCCTCTTATTTTCTTTTCATGTTCGCCTATTTCCAATAGCTGCGAGCATGATATCAGAATTTTACACTATTTGGCATGCAGGGGGCGGAAAAAAAAAAAAAAAAAAAAAA